TCAACTGCTGATAAGCTTTAAAACCAATATTTTCAAAGTTTTTCATTTTGACCCATTCAAGTAAAGCATATTTATTTCTGAACCCTCTCCCCACATTGCTCGTGGGATTTTCCCTTGACAGATTCTTTAAGTCATGAATGATTCATGCAGTTTTATCTTATTGTTGGTTTCCATCTTATTTATTGGAAACTGTGCGGTATTTCACAATATATATATATATATATATATAGATATGTATATATATATATCTATATATAAAGATATATAGATATATATAGATATACATACACAAAAATAACATTAAACAAAAAGTTAAACACTAACAACTTTTCATTTGCAACTAAGTTAATGTTTCACGTCGGGATAAAGTCCACGGTGTGCGCATGCGCACACGGACGCTTGTCAACAAAAATGGCGCTGCCCGTCGGAGCTCTCCGGTTGAACCAGCTGGCCGTCAGTCGTAATTTCTACAAATTTACTTGTTGTGTTGGCGCCCGGTCGCTGTCTGACAACGTGTCATCTAAACCCGTCCCGTCCAGCGCCACGGAGGTGGCGGGTGACCATTTAATCTACACACGAGACCACTTTGCATTGCAGGAGTCCCTCAGAAAGGTAACGCTCACACATCATCACCTAACGTACTCTCGGTTATTCAACGTTATGTCGCTGCTGCCCTTTGGTGCCACCGAGAAAACGAAGCTAGGTTGGACGGGTGACCGGAGATGAATGTAATATCTGTTGCTGTTATTACGCTTAACGTGCCTGTAAGAAGCGCTGGATCAAAGTGGGTGATAGGTCATAAAGCCAACTTGTTATGTAGCGCTGGATCACTTCATCCGGGGTCTCACGTCATTTACGTAGGATCCGCACTAAATATATACGCACGCAAAAAAAAAACCTGTTGAGAGCTACGCTCTTAAGTACACACATGCCAGTGAGCTATTTTAATAATGTAACCAAGCAGCCCATCTAACCCAGTTCCACCAATGCAAGTCCGGTCAGTCCACATAATTCATGTCACCTGGTTAAGCTATTTGAAAGAAGATGGTAAATATTGACTGATTAGACATTGATTGACAACTGTGGAGTTCATGCCATTTGGCCGGAGCTGCTTGTGTCTCACCAAATAAAAGTATTTTAGAATAAGCCGTTATATTGTTTGTTCGTACCAAACAAATATCTGTCCGTCAATCATATTTTACACCCCCCTTATCTAAAAGCCACGGGTCTTGTACATTTGAGAGCATTTGAGATGTTCTGGTCAGGTTGACAAATATTCAGTAGGAAAACAATTGTGTAATATGGGAAATTTGAAAAGATATTCCCACATTCTTTTGCACAGTTCACATTTGAATGATTTACCAATGTCATTCTTCCATGAGAATAACTGATGTGTAGAGATGACTCCAGTACATCCGGGTTGTAAAGATTTAAAGCAGGTATTTGTAATCAGCTATTTTAGGAAACAAATTACTGGACGGACTTTGGAGACGGAGACCACAAAAATAACCACAAGCTAGGACAACAGAAGGTGGGGGGGGCGTGTTGTGTGACTTAACCTTCCAAAGGATGCAAGGATGTTGGAAATACACTAGCACTGGGAATAATGGGAAGGATGAAAATGTGAAAAGGAAATGCAGAACAATACGTCTGTGGAGCAGGAAGGGGAACTTGAGGCAGCAGGGTGTATTAAAGGGATCCACTATAAGAATAATGTCTGTTAATAGATGCTATGGGAAATCCTTTTCGTGAGGGTCCAAGGTCAGATGTTCATCTGGGCCAATGTTTCCACGAGCAATTTTCTGGCACTGGTTGGGGGCATCCGGGGGGCGTAGAGCCACACTGTGGTTGAATATTGCTCATTTATTGATGAGATTAACAACCTCCAACACAATACAATTAGTCAGGGTTCCTGTCTCTCATGTACAAACCATCTGAGGATCCTGCTCCGTGTAAGTGAGAGGGTGGGACAATCTGCTTCTGCCATTAATGAGGACAAGGAGCCAACACATTGGTTTGTGTATTATATATTGTGATATATCCTATGCTGACTGTCTGTGGAGGAGTGACATTTGTGTCCCATCATCTTGTGCTGTGTGTGTGGTTTTATATCATGATAGTGATTTTTCTTAACTTTAAAACCGCTTATACCAATAATGACGAGTGCGGAATATCTGTTGCTTATCAATCAAATTGATGACATGAAAATACTTCCAGAATTTAGCACCTGTGCTGACAACTTTCTATGAGATAATATAAATGCAACACGACTACTTTTAAGGATGGTTCAGCAATATGACAAATTCCGCCTCGTACTAGGACGATGTATCATTCCTTGATAACATCGTAAAGTGAGTAACGCTCTAAATCTCACTTTCGTATTCTATAAATATAAAGGGGAGTAACCCGCGTTGACTCAACCACTTGGTTATTCCCGTTCTACAAGGAGTGCGCTGAGGAAAAATCCCTCCAGAAACTGGACGTTCTGCTGGACTTGACCCTGTCCCACTAATTCAGCGATGTGAGGTTGTTCTGCTCTGCAACACAACGAGTCCACAGCAGAGACGGAGGATCACTCCCTGATGACCTCTTTGGTTTCCCTTTCCAGCAGCGAGCGATTCCTCCCTTTTCCTCTGGATTCGAACTTTGACCATGGAGGAGTTTATTGCAGGTTACCTGGCGTTTTACTGCCGTTATGTAGCCCAACCTGACCTCCGCTGGTTCAGGCCCGAGCACTTATCTGTTGAAAGTAGTCTGTTTTTGTTTTTGGGGGAATTAAAAACACGGATTTGATCATTTCTGTCTGCCTCATGTTCCAGTGTGCGTTTTTATCTTGGCTTGTCGAGGGGTTGGCTGGTTTGTGTTTTTGAAAGGATGAAATGAGATCACTTTTGCCATCCTGGCAAAAAAAAACTGGGGATTTCTTATATACTTCAATTACAGAACTTTGAACTGTGCATGCTCATTAATGGGTTTTGCTTTTGCTGTCAAGCAGTAATGTGGACAAATGACCAAATAGCGTTTTATTTTTCTCATTCACTAAGTATCATCGAGTAAAACTGGAATTTGATGTTTCCTCTTTATGTCTTGTTTTCTTCGTCTCCGTTCTACTCATCATTTAGAGCTCATTGTACCGACCAGAGAAGCCCGTTTGTTGAGCACCATGTTCTGGGTCTGTTAGAACCGTGGCCCATTGATGGATGTTGATCATATTTTTGCTGTCAAACTGTCAAGCCGATTTTCAGAAAGCATTTCAATTTGAAAAGCATGCAACTAGAAACGTTGTCACAGCTCATACACTTTTTCCCCTTAATGTTCATTTGATTTTAAAAAGCCTTCCAGGAACAGCACTCAATGCCAACCACAAACTTGTTTACAGCATGTGCACTACACTTTATTTTTTCTTTTGTCAAGCCTTCTGTGAGGGGGCAGACTTGTTAAAAGAATGCCCAACTAAATAGCACACTATATATCTACAGCCTGTTATCTGTGAGATTCTGCAGAACTAGCACCATTAGAGAGCCTCAACCGATTCGTAAGAGCTCCTCCAGCTGTGGTCCACTTCCAGGGGCCCGGCGTGAACCACGGCACCAACGTTCGCTTCGTTCCGTAGGTCTATATTTAAAACGCACTTCCAATTAACTCTGGGCACACATTTTTGGGCGTGACTGTTGAAGGACCAGGCTGCTTGAACTCGCAAGAATAACAGTATCCATTTGTTCCATTGGCACAGCGTTTCTGCTGTCCGACCTCAAAGCAAATAAAAAGCCATCCTTCATTTTCGGGTATTTGTTGCTGAACCAAGAAGGAGTGCCATTAACATTGGTTTCAGGACCAGGCTTTATTTTCGCCTGCAGTACTAAATGTTACTACCCGGACATGGATAAAGCGGCAGAGTCATTCACATGGTTGGATGGAAAGTTGATATTGTCATTACATTCTTTAAGGGTCTTGTTTTTATCCCATTTTTTCCCCCCGCTCCCACATGTCATGGAATGACATTGAGGCAAAAGCCCTGCCCTTGTTTTCTGAGCCGGCAGCCTGTCATATTGTGTGTCACTGGCCAAGCCGGGGTTCTCCGTAAGGGACTGATCATATGTACGTACGGGGAATCGCATGTTGCATGCGGTCATTGTATTTGCATCATAGTGGATTTCCCATGTATTACATTTCTATCCAGGCTGCTCTCTATTCATTGATACATAATACCTTATCCCACTGTCTGCCACAGATGGATTACATAGACTTAAGTAAGTGCACCGCAAAGCATAAAACCCATCAAACAGTCATTGTGTGTGTGTGTGTGTGTGTGTGTTCATTCCTAATGTATATCTGCTTGGTGTTGGTTATGAGAGAGGAAATAGAAAAGCGCGGCTGTCATTGTTGTTGGAATTATAAGGTTTAAAAAAAAAAAAATGCAGTGTGTTCTTAAAATTTCCCATAAAAAATCCTGTCAGGCCGACTATTAACGTGTCCTTTCTCCCTGCTGCTGTTCGTCCTGTAGATCGTCGACCAGGAGATCAACCCCCACGTGGATCAGTGGGAAGCAGAGGGGACGTTTCCAGCCCACAAAGTTTTCAAGATCTTAGGAAACGCCGGCTTTCTCGGAGTTAACAAACCAGTTGGTAAGAGTGTCGCAAACCAACAATAATGAGCTCTTTCATTTTCATAAGCGCAATAAGCGTTTTGGTCCTGAGCTCGGCACTCTGCTGCTTCTCGCAGGAAGGAAAGTTGTTTGACTGAATGCTTGACAGGTTTCAGCCCTTGACACCCTAATACCTATTTTTTTTATTTTTGTTTTAAGATTTCATAAAAATAATTATAATTAGAGACCAATTACATTTTTCTAAAATCCTATGACGGATTAATCAAATCAATGGGTTTTTTGTTTTGTTATCTGGGGCAGAGGCTTTAGAGAGACTCTATTTTTGATTTTGGGTCCCAGAAGCCTTTATTCAGTATGTTAAAGCTTTGATTTGGTTCTATAGGAAAGCGATAATAATTCTGCTAGTAATCATAATGTCTTAAGTTCCAAACTCGGTGCATCTTTAGTGCAAGTGAGTAATAGTAGAACAGATCAAGAGAATGAACATGTGGCTGTGTTTGCAGAATTTACATCCAGATGTAGAAGTATTTTTTTGAAATATGACCAATTAACTAGCTGTCTTCAAGATTTATCTTTTTGCGACGTGCTACGTTGGGAAAGAACTAAAATAATGTATAATAATAATCTGTATTATCAGTGAATCGAAAAGGCTTTTAAGGATACCATTTTTTTTTGGTAGACTCCTGAAAACCAAGTTACTCAGAACCACAACTTGTGGTTTAGAACTTGCCTGAAGGGATCGTTCTCAAACTGTGTCCTGCATGACCGTCTCCGCTTCAGGGAGCATCGGGCATTTCTTCTTCTTTGTACACAGCTGGATTCCTTTTCCATCCACATCCTCTCTGTTTCACGGCCGTGCGTTACAGCGGGTCTGGTTTTAGAAATGTTCCCACTGTGGTGACGGCTGCTCGCGTCTCCGGCCAGCAAAATCTAACAACAGCTGTCGGCCGCACTGTATCCCTTTTCCAGATGTGCACCCAGCTGGGGTGAGGGAAGCAGCGGGGCGAGCGCTGTATAGTTACAGGATCACAGAATAGTTGTGGTCGTGATGTCTTATTCATTCTGACTGTACAAAGAGACGTGTGGGGAGCCGACATTCGGAAGCATTCATCTAAAAAAAGTGAGTTATTCGCTCATTAATTCACCGTTCCTCTCCTTGGTCTCAGCCTTTATTATCACTGTGGTAAAAGGGCCATTGTCGCCATCGAGGCGGCTGATGCCGAAAAGACCCAATCTGTCCACAACTCATGTAGAACACAGATGGAGCTGCGCGAGGAGGACTGCACTGCGGGTCTGTAGGTCAAAGAGGGAATTAAAATGTGCTGAGTACACAAGGCTTAAGCGTTAGTTGACAGGATTAGTGAGGAGGAGGAGGAGCGCAGGAAGCGGAAGCCTGCGGGGAGACGTGTTGTATTATCAGCTGGTAGATTACCTGGGGTGAGTATATAGAAACATCTGTCACAGCTGACATGTTTCAGCACGCAATTTATGTTGAGCTGGCAGTAGAGTATATTTGATATTTGAAGCCTCCTTCTAAAGGAGGGATATTTCAGGCAGTAAGAGCTAATGGACAAACTGTATTCAAAAAGACGAATGCTCAGTTCCCTCGCTGTGGAATCCTGCTCCCTCACAAAAATAACCGAACCTTTCCTGGTCTCTCATGTCTTTGGGGAAAGTGCGCAAATAGACTCGCAATTCATTCAATAGATTTAATCACTACCACTAAAATACTTCTTTTGAGGCTAAATGACTCGTTATAGCTGTTTTCATTCCTCAGTAAAATATAAAAGTGCAGATTTGACCTCATATCGATACGGTTTCTAAGCCTTTAATGACTGTGGGCTCCTCCATAGGCATCCATGCCTTTTAAAATGTGGCCAAACTGAGTACTTGGTGGATTCGTGCAAGGCAACAGCGTTGATGCTTCGGTCGACATGTTTTTAGAGCTCAGCGTGTACTTTTGTGATCCACTGACAAGAACACTCAACACTTATTTTCACTCTCACACTTTTTTTTTTCCATGCCAAAGGAAAGTCATCATTACCTTCTAAAAACAGGCGAACGGGAAGCTTCCCTGAAGCGGCCCCCGCCGAGGGAGAAGTGACCTTTGTCTCCCTGCCTGTTTTCCTCTGCTCGGACAGAGCAGGCCGCCCGACGGACCGAGCCTGGCGGTGTCCACAGCTTTCTCTTCTACTGACTAACGTTTTTTTTAGAAATACTGTTGATGTGGCGTTCGTTGCAGTGGCCAGAGCTTCCTCTCTGCCACCGTCTGCTGGTGCGGCGGCTTTCCATTCTCTCACGCTTTAAACATCCGCGCGTGCTTTCGTACGGAGATCTCCACCTGATCTGACCGGACCATCTGGAGCCCCGAAGAGACACATGTGCATAGAATTGACATTTGTGACAGGATTCTGTTTGTCCCCCCCCCCCCCCTCCGGCTTGCTTGTTCAACCAGGCGGCCCGCTGTTCCGCTTAGAGAGGGATGAACCTCGGCGCTTCCCCCCCGGTCCACATTATCCGCCGCAGGGCTTCCACTGCGCGGAGACTTATCCCTGAACAGCTGCACCGGTTTCCTCTTCTTTTTTGCCCGTCCCACCGTATCCCCCCTTTTCTCTGTTTATTTTTTTTGGCTCCTTTTTTTTTTTTTCCTATCTCGCTAAGACTGTCTGCCAGATCTGTGCTCCTCCTCATCTGATCGGTAGTCCCGACAGGTGACATGAAACCACTTGCCGGCCTCCTCCGTGTGGTAAATTTTCTAATAATTATTCATTGTCTGTCGTTGCTGGTATCCATCAGCCGGTGGCTATTTGGTCATCAGAAAACTGACCGCCGCCCGTTTCGCAAATGCTCAGTTCCGGTTACTTCTGGCTGACTGGACATCAGGATCAGGACATTTGTCCTCAACGACTCACTGTCATGTTGCTTTTGTTCACTCAGAATGGGATGATGATGTACAGTACTTTGTACTTATGAAAAATATAGATATTCATATACTTTTTTTTTGTGTGTGTCTGTTTAACACAAACCACCTTAAAAGAAACGCAGCCCAAAAAGTGAGCACATTCGCCAACTCATTTAGTGAGTATTGGAAAGAAAACTACCGTAGCATTAAATACATTGTTTTAAAGGAATTGCCTTTTTGTAATAGACTGTGGGACTGATGATGAAAGGAAAGGAAAAGAGGAATCTAATGAAGATAACTGGTCTTCTAATGTGTAAACGTTCAACTCCATTAAGGACCTGAGGTCTTGGCGAATGCCTCTGCTGTCGGAGTGAATGAAAAAGCCGTCCGTTCTTTACTCTTCCACAAAATGGGCTGTTCAAAAGATGAAAATCAAGCGAGAGAGAGAGGAGATGACATCGAGACGTCAGTGACCTTTTATCTGCATCCTCCTGCAAGTGCTTTTTACGCATAATTACAGAACGCACAAATAACGGTAACATCAGTTCAGGTCAGAGAGACGGGGGTTGGTGGTCGCACGGCGAGTTAAAGGCGACCAATGTTGTGAAGGGGTTCTTCTATCCCGGGGGCGGCGGCGTCGGTACGCCACTGTCTCTTCATCCTTCAGCAGCGTGGTGGAGAGATCCATAAATTGTCCATTGAAGTGTCAGCAGATGGTGAAGGACAGTGTGTGTTTGTCCTTCGCAGAGTACGGCGGCTTGGGGCTGGACTTCAGCTACAGCATAGCCGTCTCCGAGGAGCTGGGCAACATCCGCTGTGGGGGCGTCCCCATGGCCATCGGCGTGCAGACGGACATGGCCACCCCTGCACTGGCCAGGTACCGTCCCACGGAATGGAGCATGCGCGACATTCTACAAATCTCCCCGTATTTGTCTTTTGTGCGTATAATCTGTTCATTTTGAGTCACTCCCAAAAGCCCGACGCCATAAAAAGCTTCCGCATATCAGATGTTCTTTTTTTTTATTTTTTATTTTTAAATCCTCCTTCACTTGTTTTTATTTCACTATACAGAAGGTGATTATTTTTTACAGCTGTACTGATTGCACCTAATGTGAGGCTGTTGGAATTCATTTCATACTCTCTAACCGAATCGATACCCTTTCTCTTGGTTATCGCGCTCCGCAACCAAATGAATTACCCCATTTCCTCCTCCGAGAGGACTTTACAGTGAATCGATTGTGACGGGCTGTGCAGTGGGCACCACCACCACCATCTGCTCCGTCGCGTATTTGTAAACAACTAAAGCTGATGTTTACCGCTGCAAAGACTACGAATCATCTCGGGGGCTTTTTGCTGTGTGCTGTGGACGGTGTATTCGACTTCGCCGGCGAGCCAAGAATACGCGCATCCTTGTTTTCCATCCTTTTTATCAAAGTCTCGCTCCCTAGAGAGAGTAGTGTATTAATACATAATAGTAATTGTTTGTCCCGCCCGTGTACGGCCTTGACTTGTTCTGTGATATCCGCCTGCTGCTGGTGGCAGAAGACAGAACTCTGTGAAATAGACCGTCTCAGGAGCCTAATTAAGGGGATCTACAGATGATTGCAGCGAGGTCTGAGTGCTAAGAGAGCAGCAAAGAGAATACCGTTGAGCTCCATGATGAGACTCCCTCCTTTTTTCCCACTGGAAATATAATCTCCTCAGACATGGAAATGTGGTTTTAAAGCCCCGTACAATCTCCTGCTCTTACTTGCTGCAAGTTAGTTTTACCCAACTTTTGTCACCCGCTTGCTGGACAAACTTGTTTTGTATCGGATGTAGATGATATTGTAGGAAAATCCACAAGTGACGCTCTTGGAATCCCCGTTAGTGTCTTAATTGGTAACTGCTAACTAACGCCGACAAAACCGCTTTTATTTCTTTGTGTATGTGTGTGCAGGTTTGGTTCAGCCGAGCTAAAGGAAGAGTTCCTCCTTCCCTCCATCGCGGGGGACAAAGTGGCCTGCCTCGGAGTCAGTGAAGTCGGAGCCGGCTCTGATGTCTCAAGTACGTCTCTTACCCATCAACTGGTCATTTATCATCACATGGTTTCCCCTTTTAAAGCTCCCGAAGGACCATTTTGAATGAACTGGGGCTGCAGAGATGATTAAGCAGCCGTTTCACAATCAATTTGGCACTGATCGTTTGTCGGGAGAGAAGGGTGGCATGATGAATGTGGAATACTCCAGATTATTCATAATCACATTCCTCCACGTTTTGATTCCTTCCTTCTGGATAAACATGTATTATGTTTAAATGCACCAGCTGGACATTCAAATGAGCGTCTAAAACCTTTTCAGCCTGAGGGCCAAAATGAGTTTTTTTCAAAATGTAGATTATTCCCCACACTGGAATGAAAGCCAGCCACACATCGTTTCAGGTATCCTGACCAAGGCAGTGAAGAAAGGGGATGAATATGTGATCAACGGGGGGAAGATGTGGACCACCAACGGTACCCAGGCCGACTGGATATGTCTCCTCGCCAACACAAGCGACGGGCCCCCACACAGGAACAAGTCCCTCATCTGTTTGCCCATGAACCTGCCAGGTGACTGTTCCTTATGTGTGTGAGGATTTACCTGGTCTTAGACAAAAGCCCTTTAAGCCGAAAACTGTCAGCATCAACATTTTATCGTCTGTGATTTAAGTTCATCTAAAAACAGCCCTTAAGTATAAGGTTGTGTTTTTCCACTCCCATTCCAACAGATTTACTGCACCAAGATTGCATGCTTTTCTTTAATATATTGACTCCCCACCCCCGCTACAGAAAGAAATTGTGTCTGTTCTATTCACAGGGTCTCTTGTTATTAGTGGGCCTTTGCCACGATGCACAATGACCTCTATTTCTCTTTCCCTGCCACTCCTACCGTAGGAGTCCACATCGCCCGAAAGATTGAGAAACTCGGCATGTGGTCGTCGGACACGGCCGAAGTGTTCTTCGACGACGTCCGTGTGCCCTGCAAGAACATCGTGGGCCAGGAAGGCATGGGCTTCACCTATCAGATGCTTCAGTTCCAGGAGGAGCGGCTCTGGGCTGTGGGCAACAGTGAGTGAGCCTCTTCCAGTTAGTCATTTCTCATTTCCGTAGTTCCCAAGATTTGGGGGAGTTCAGGTCAAATAGTTCAAACCTTTAATCTGCTGTAAAGTAGTTATTTGCTTTTCTGATATGCAGTAGATTGCAGCATGCATCATTTCCTTTTTGGGTGATGAGGTCAAAAGTGTGACTTTCAGTTACAGGATGTGAACGTGATCCATCTGGTCTGGTGAACTGATCATTTATCAGAGACGCTAAGGACAAGGCACTCAGACATGCCTCTTGCAGTTCTAGTAGTAAGGTCACGTCACTGTGTCTCTGTCGCACCGCCTGCAGTCGTGACCATGATGGACAACATCATTCAGGAGACCATCCAGTACACCCGGCAGAGGAAGATCTTCAAGCTGCCCGTCCTCTACCACCAGTCGGTTAACTTCAGGTTGGCCGAGCTGCAGACGGAGGTGGAGCTGCTCCGCTCCCTCCTCCACCGTGCCACAGGTGGGTGTCCTCTTGGATTCCCAGAATTACAAAACAAAGAGCGAAAGTGTGATTGTTGGTAGGGTTTGCTGCATTTGGATTTCTCATAATGACTCCCCTTTTTGTCTGAGAGCATCAGACTGCGAGTATTAATGTAATTTATTAGTGAAAAATCCATTTACCTACAAAATCCATCTTCTCTACAGGTTTCCTTTTACTTCATGCTTGGATTTGGAAGTGCGGTGTTTTAGGAAATGAACAAATGCTCTCCTGGCTCTCCTTGTGGTCCTTTTTTTATACCAAAGATAATACTGAGGTCTCAGTAACTAAGGCCACTGTTGACTGAGCTCTGTCAGAATGGTGCGAATGGCAAATTAGCCTTGAGTGGGTTATTTATCCAATCTGCAAGGCAGCGGCTTGTTTTTAAAAGATCAAGGACGAGGTTTAGGCTGGAGACGGATGCGGCGGATTAATATCAAGTGATAATTTGACACTTTACAATATGTTTTGCCGGCTGTAGACGAAACAGTCATTTTTAGATTTGCCATTAAAATAGTTTCCAACTACGTTGACGAAGCAACCACAAATTCATGGTGGAGTCTCATGAAGCAGTTTTTTCTAAAGTTATCAATCCTTTATAGGCTGATTTCATTTTTTTCAAGCCGTATTTCAGCTGGTGTTCAAGAGCATTTTTTGCCTTTTCTGTTCTATGGAATAATAGTTATGTATTTTGTTCTTAAAGAACATAAATATATATATTTTTTAATATATAGATTTGGAGTGAAGCGTCTAGCTCAGGAACACTTGGATTTGGACAGGGGGGGGGCGGTTCAAGCCAGTGAAGCCTGATCTGCTCCTGTGGTTTCTGTGTCTTCTGGCGCAACTTCAAAACGCCACAGGCTTTGCCACTCGAAGACTGGCACCCACACTCAGCCCCTTTAGAATGCGTCCCATGCGCATTACACTGCAGTGTTTATGATATGAACACGTGGATGGGCATCTGGCCGGCCAGTGTTCAAGGTCTTCTGATTTTCTGTCTTTAACCATTCCAGTGGCGAGCCGCTTTCAACAAATTCATCTAGCCGGTCCAATTCGTTTGCCCGGAAACGGAACAAAGCTTTTGAATTTGTTTGGCGCAGGCAGATCAACGCAGGCAAAGACACACAGGCAAAGTTCTTTACAGACTGAAATGGTGAAAACCCATGCAGCTCACACATGTTCCTCTGGAGGGTTCGCACTATGGAGGCATTCATTAGCCACCATTGACCATTGGACCACATTTATTCTTTGTTCCCCTCGCTACATCATTTTATCCACATGGACATTTTTCAATCTTCCACGCTTTTGTCACTACTTCCATCTTTTTTTTCCCTCCTTTTTTTTTCTGCAGCATTGTACATTAAAGGCAACGATGTCACCAAACTGGCATCCATGGCCAAGTTAAAGGCCGGCCGTCTGGCCAGGGAGGTGGGCGACAGCTGCCTCCAGTATTGGGGAGGCATGGGCTTCACCAGCGACGTGCTTGTCAGCAGATTCTACAGGTGAGCGTGTGCAGGGACACGGTCTCTGTATGAAAAACCTTTAAAAAGTGGATTGACGGTTCATGCTATGTTCATGCAATAATAATTATTGAAGACATGCAATTAGTCTCAGTCATCTGATGCCCACTTTTGGACTGAATTTGAATCGTTATGACTTATTTTTGACTTTGCTGACACCTACTGATGGGGCATATATTGTAGCTGATCAAGGTGTTCATAACGCACAATGCTGAGGCACAAAAACCCAACTGTATGGTTATTGTTAGAGAAAACACCTTTATGTATTCCATTTGTTTCCTTTCCACAGAGATTCTAGGTTACTTTCAATTGGTGGAGGTGCCGATGAGGTGATGCTGGCAATCATCTGCAAATACATGGACACACTACCCAAGAAATGAAGTCATAAACATCTGATCCAGACTGCCCGATGCACGCTGCTCCATAGCAGATAATGAGTCAATTTATTGCTAAACACAAGTCACCTAAGTGCAGTTATATTATGTGACAAACTATATAGCATTTTATTGTTTTGTTTTCAGGGGCATACAACATCAACAGCCTACAGTTGAATTGTATTAGTGTCATTTTACCAAGACTTAAATCTTTTTAAATAGACTCTGCAGTGTCTGTAAAAATTATATATTTTTAATTTCCACATTGCATGTCATTGACTAATTTATAGAAGTTTTAATATTTGCAATGTATTCTCTGTATGTGTAATCAGCACACTCATTCTGTTAAATTCAGATCATAGAATGTGTTTATTTACATAAAAAAAACATGTTAACAGAAATGAAACTATACACTCATTCATTTTTGAATGGTTGCCAACTGATGCAATACATCCATTCATTGTTAAAAGCAAAAATACTCAATTATTTGCCTCAAATGGCAACGTAGAACACACTATAACACAACGTATTGACAGATTTCCAATCCACTCTTATCACATCTCATAACGTGCCGCTGATTGCATCAAAGGTTTTTGACACAGCATCATCTTCTACAGTGGTTAAACATTCACTGTTCTGTCTCATCCAGCGTCAGATATACATAAAAATGTTAATTCACACTCATTAATCTCTCATCCATTTTACTTATGTTTTGATGATACCATGTGGTGGAACCCCAGAGTTATTTCATAACTCAATTTGTTTTATTTCTTTTTTTAAATTCAATTCAACTACTTTGAATGGGTACAGAATAAGCCGTTTTGAGACTCATCGGAGCGGCACACACTGGGGAGTAACTCGGCCTCCTATCACCTCAGCTTGATGAACCAGTACAGGACAAAGAAGACGAAAAGACAGAAGAGAAGCATGTAGCACAGCAGTTTGGTCTGACTGCCTCTGGACAGCTGCTTCACTCGGCCTATGGTCGCACCGAGCAGGCCGCCTGTCGAGTCAAAGTCCGTGTCCTAATGTGGAAGGATTACAAAGGTTTAGGTCCAGGCATATAACGGTAACCAGCAGTTCACGTGTTTAAATGGGCTCCGTCAAATACTGGGATGTGATAGTACAATTGTGAGGTACTTCAAAAACTCCATTACATTTCACAGAGGAATATTAAATTGTCAAGATAAAGTTGTTTTAATTCTAAATGTTATATTGATTTTGAATATAAACAGTAGGATCATCCTTTATTATAAACTACTCAGCTTTAATTTTTATAGCTTAATCGGTAACCAATTAACATACTACTCAATACTCAAATACTTTTTATGCACCACTTCCCTGTATATGTTGTTAATAAGGAAAGTGGAACTTGCCATATCGCCCAGCATTGTATTCTGATACTTGACTTCCGTTCCAATGTCGATAGACAGCTGTGAATATCAATGAAATGAACATCAATATCAATACTGCATTTAAAACCGATAGTTCGTGTAGTATTCGCCGTCCATGTTTTTGAATGAACCATCATTAGTGGTTCCTTACACTTTTCAAAGCGCTGACTTTGGCTCTCAGTCCCTCCTGCAGATGTTCGTTCTCCTCCTCATACACGCTGTATCCACTCGCCACATAATTCCCGGGGCCTCCTTCGCCTAACGGAACGGGGACGATGATTAAAACATTGTTCGTGAACGCCGTCGATTTCTGTCCGTTAACAACAACAACACACCTTCATGCACATATGCTAACAACACAGCTAGCTTACGTAAGCTAGCTGTGTTGTTAAGCGGCGTTATCTGGAAAGCAGGCTACGTATGAGCTTAAAAACCAGGCTGCCTCTCACCCAAACCGGCGCGCCTCATCTTCAACCAGTGGAGTTGAACGTTTTAACAATCAACACAACAAAATGTTGACGAAATGAGCTAAAAAAAAAAAAGAGACCGCTAACGTTGACGTGTTGTCTATGGTAAGTTTGTATTAAGGCTTTACAGCACAGACCACGTCATCATACGGTGGCCGATGAGGACAATGAGCCCCGTAACGCAAAGCGGGAATAATCTTGGTTGATGTTTTTTTCTGCGCATTTAAAAAAAACTTGAAAACATTGATTAAAACCTTTTTGGAGTTTGTGCCTAGTTCTGGTGTCGGTGTCCGTGGGGGGGAGTACAGGTAAAGCTATTTTAAAAGCAATCACAACAGGAAGTGGGCGTAACCAATTGCATTTTGCTCTCGATATTGTTCTAATGTTTTTTTTATCAGTATTGCATTTTTTTAAATATATATTTTTGAAAAACAGCAGTATTGTTAAAATCAAACTTCCATGTAAATGTCTGAAACGGTTGCTTGCGTTACGCTCAGTTAGGGTCAGATCACTGGGCTACTGTACCTATCTGTCTTAATCAGTGTGAGTAATTGCAACACTTAGCGAGCCTCTTCAGTGCCACACCCCTGTGACCCGAGCTAAGCAGTTGTGCATGCAGGCTTTAACAAATATTGAATCCTGAAACGGGCTGATTTGATGGCTCCTCCAATGGAGACTTCTGACATGACGAAGGAACTATTTAACTACAGTCAGGGCTGTGAGGCTTTCTGCTGTTTGATCATGTTCATCTAATGCACCTATAAAGAAGAACAGTGGGACCAGAGAGACTAAGTAGACTGGTCATACGTGGACCAGAGAGACTGTAGACTGGGTAAACGGGGACCAAGACCCGTAGGGTACCTTTCAGAGTGCGTACAGCAAAGCACTGTATAAATGACAATTCTACTGTTAGTTCTAAAATAAGATGATGCCAATAGTTTTTTCTATTTTGTAGCCTACTTTTTATAACTTTTAGAACTTAACTATAATATCATGTCCTGCTCATTATGGTGAGATATTATAGATTCTGTGTTACATGAACCAAATTATCGCAATATAATTTGCTGTTGAACTTCTGATGTTCTTGATAAGATAACCATTTCATGGTTTTGTCATATTGAGGTGACCACCTAAACATATAAAACAAGTTTTTTTTTTTTTTTAAACCACTGTGTGTTCCACTTTATAACCACTGTGGGTTCCATTACACATACCATACTATTTTGTATCTCAGGAAAATATTTAATACATTCCAATATATATTGGGTCAACTGCAAAAGAAGTAAAAAGATGTCCTCACTGCTCTTTTCGCAGGAGGAATATGCGCAAGAGGAGCGCGGTTCAGGGTGTATTAATCCCCACGTCTGCTTGTTCGCAGGTCTCACTGGCCTCGCCTTAACATAAAAAGCAACAGTACGACAAACTGTGGTCTACGGTCCAACGACAGGCTCACAGAATGAATATCATCAGCGAGACAAAATGCCGTATTTGACAAGAAAACATATTTTCTCATCGTTTAATAGACTATTCTCCCTTTGGTGGAATAAACACATTATTTTAAGGAGAAAATTACTCCGATCTTTCCTTTGAACACTAAAAAAATAGAGACAAATATCCTTTGTAGATTTAACAAAGGGGTGATATTTTTACTGACACATCCATCTCTGTTGTGTAGAACAGAAAATAGTTTTGCAATTTTTCCATAAATGGCGCTATTTATCAGTGATTAGCTTTCTTCATCCCCTCATTCATCATCCTTCACCTTGCCAAGAGACAGCTAATGTGATATAAGAGATTAAAATGACATTCATGATGCTAATTATTCCAATCCAATATCTTATAAATAAAGCTCCAATCTGCCTCAACGCTCTTCAATGCCCCAGCACTCATCTTTGTATGTGCCCCCTGAAGGCTCTGCCGTATGCGTGACCCTGACTGGAGTGTCCAACAAACAGGGGGGTATTGATTCAACTGTGCGCTGTGCTCAGCCTCCATGGATCCATCTGAATGGTCTTTAGAGGAGAGGATGGCGTTCAGACACTAGAAACTGGTCTAAATATTCATTCCAGCTCTGTAGATTTAGAGCACTCTTGATCAATCTCAATGGGCGCACATGCACACTTGTCCTTTAAGTCAACTAGTTTCCACCCCCTCAGATGTTCTATACATGTTCATGTACGTGTGTCTTTTAGTGTTTTGAAACTGTTTGACGGGTCTGATTCTCACAGATCGTGTTGAGTGGGTGTTGCTTGCTCAAGGGCACCTCAGCAGTGCTGGACTTGAATTGAACAGACTTGTATTGAACGGAGCGGTTCAACAACTAATCTTACTGGGTGTCAAAACAAGGCCACTTGACGGAAACCAGGAATGTCACGCGACCATATGGGAGCGGCTGCACGCATGGGTTTCTCTGCAGACAAAAGAAATCCAGAATAAAACCATACTTTATTGTACATTTTTTTTTCACTATAGTGTCACTTTTTCTTCGTTTTAGAGCAATTTCTGTTATTTAAGACAAAGAAAAGCGAATGCTGTAGGAACTATGCATTGGTTACACTCCACGTTAAGTTAGCAAAGTAACGTTCCAATTAAGTAGTTTAGTGGGAAACGTCGCTTGGGCAAAAGTTCCTTCAAACGGCAGTAATAAGTGATCCCCAGTATGATGGCTCAGAATCAAAGAGCTACTCCCCTGTCAGTAACCTATGCAGCTATTTGGTGAGAAAGGACTGTAATTAGCTAAAAATGAGAAAAGTAATCTGTCTGTGCAACACAGTACACTACGTACTGCTGATGCTTGACAATATCCAGCTCAGCCTGATTACCATAATTTATCAGAAGGATGAAACGGATGAGTCAGATGAGGTAGGAGTAGAGGGGAGGAAAAATATGCCGAAGGAAAAAGGGTTTGCCATTGTGCTTCCTACTACTAGTCTCAGGAGAAAGGATTGTTTTGAATTACAATTCAAATAACTGCCTGCCTTTTAGCCATGCTTAACATTCTCTGGATTATAGATTCATATTTTTGTCAATATACATGTATTCACATCATTAATAGATGGCTGTGTTCCTCAGAATAAACCTAAATCCCGCCATGCATTAATAAATATAGTTTTAATAAGAGATTTCATTGAGATGTATAAAAAAATGAAGGATTCCCTTTTTAGTGAACTTGTTTCCAGGACTCGCCCCTTCAGCTCTCAGCTAATCATGCGTGGCCTCAGCCCGCAGCATGGTTGAAATAATATAAAATGGGAAGCTAGTTATCTTACTGTGTGTATAGTTTATTTATTGTAGACGACTCTGGTTGGTTGATTCAGAATGACTTTGGCATTGACGGAGCTAGCTGGCAACATTTTGGCAACAGTAGGGATGCTGTTGGCTGAACGATAAGGGGCACTCTCTTGTCATACAAATTGATATTATAACATGGGGGGAAATTGGCAATATGAAATTAAAACAAATTTTTAAAAAGGAAGAGAAATTCATTAAAAATGAATGGAATTTCATCATTATTTGTTTGTCAACACAATTAATTGAGCTTTGATAATTTATACAACTACAAATATCTCAGTTTGTATTTCATATATATCAATCGGAATATTTTTTTTTCCTTAATTCTGAAAGGCTGGTGACCAATGGGAAATTATTAATGAAGTAGTGTAGAAAGCACACTAAGAAAAATGTTCTGCAACATCATAAATGCCAAACTTTCCAAATTAAAACGAAACCTTGAGAAGAAGACGTCATAAAACAACTCCTGCCGGGGAGATTACAGCTGTCTCTGTACATAATCTGAACCGATATGATATAGGGTGTTTGTGCTTAAAATATGCTTTTTCAGTTTACCAATTTTCATGTTAATAATTACTGAGCTTCTGCATTGCCATCATGCATTATTTAGTTTACAATTTGTCATGTTATTGCCTTTGCAGGAATACCTACCAACCATTTCTGCAAATTAAGCACAACTGAAATTGAAAGTTAAAATTGAGAGAAAGATGTTGGGCGAGTATCCTGTTGGGTGTTTTTTTCTTCTCCAGATTCATTTAAAAAAAACAACAACCTTTTTTAGCGTGACGGTGTTTCCATGTTGCCGAACTCCCCCGTCACTCCTAATGAGCAAGACCATTACTCAGACTAAAAGAAGTTGTCACCCTATTGCACCCTGTTACTATTCACTCATCTCTTCTGTGCGTCAGTGCATTTGTGGCGAGAGTGTGCGTCTGTGTCTGAACCCCCCCACCCCCGCTGACCCCGTAATCCCGTGGAAACGCAGCATAATTCCTCTACGTAAAAAAACATTCAACATTGATTCATGGGTTGATTCCCTTTGGCAAAAGTGATGCATCACCATTCAAAAATTAAATGAAGTATTGATTCACTTTAGCGTTGCTTATGCCACAGCGAGCTGGTCTTTGAGTGCTTTTTTGTTTTCATACAGATTATCATGTACACAAGCGTATGTAGTCCCTCCTCAACAGATGACATTTCGGCAAATGTCACTCAAAGTGCGTCTGCAGATTACATAACTGTCTTCTTATCTGACGCCGGGGTTTTACGTCATCAGACTCCCGTGTGCTTTGACTTTAATAGTTGTTCAAAACTACTCGCACGTGTGCGCACACACACACACACACACACACACACACACACACACAGACACACACACACCCCTCTAATAGCCAATACCTTCCTCGCTGCACTAAGACCACAGCCAATATATTTTCAGTGGGAGAACAAGTGAAGATACGTGGGCTGTGTGTTTACACTGATTGCCCGTTGCTGTTGTTGGGGTTCACTATGGACCGGACCCATAATAATCATTGTCTTTAACACAGTTGAAACCTTTTAGATTTGCTGATGGACAGGAAACCAATAGCAATCAATTTGTCATTTGATCATTTAAATCATATTATGATTAGAATCAATTTTTAGGCCACTCAGCACCAGTACACAGCATCTTTTGTACCGCACATCTTTACCCCACCAAGTCACCCGGCAACGTGCGTCCCGGGTCACCAACCGCACTCGCCCCACTGAGGCTGCTTCGCCGAAACACGCTTCATGTCCATTAGCTACACACTGAGATTCAATCAAGCACACTGCGCATTGTTTACAGTTCCTCAAGGCCCGATGCAACAGAATGTA